TAAGTCTCTGGGCGAATCCATGTTTCCTTCTACGGAAGCCTGTAACGACAAAATGTATTTATTGATTTGTAACAAAATGTTACAAAGCTTTCTCCATTCACAAACATTGTTTTACACATATAGCTCTTCACTCGTTGCCATTAAGGAAAGGGATTCTGATGTGCTTGTCATTTTGCTGGAGGTTGAACAATCTGACAAAATACTTGTTCGAAAATTGAGCTCCCAGGGTGTTTTGACCCTAATAGGGAGCCTATGTCCTGCCCATCTACTTCCGGACCATGGGTCCCCGGATGAACGTAAAAATGAATACAAGACAATGAGGCTAAAAACGCCATTTTCTAATTCTGCTCATGTGCCATGGATTTCACATATGATGTCCGTGAATTTTAAAGACACATTTTGATACCAATAACGTGCTTATTTTCAAATGGGGGAAACGTTAATTTAGGTTTCGTTTGAAAATAAGTCCAGGACTACAAAAGTGACGTCACTAAACCAGGCACAGAGAAAAACAGAAGGAAAATGGCTATAAGTTCAGCAAACTTCAAATACTTATTTCAGGAGAAAAGAACCACAATAAATCTGGCCATGTGGTAAGTAGCAGCTACGCTAGGGGAGAGGAGATCATGTGGTGTCATATGTGTGGCGTACCAACATCCAGTTTGTAGTCATGATAATTACCAACGTCTAAAAAATGATAAATCTCAAAGTAAGTAACAGACGTGGTCGAAACACCCATCATTACTTTTCATTAAAATCGCAGTACAACATATGTGTGATCCAGGGCGTAAGGCAAAGTGAATTAGAAAATAGCTCTTTTAGCCCTGTTGACTTGCATTCATTTTTTCGTTCTTCCGGGGGCCGATGAGCCGACTGGAAAGTGAGGAGACTTAGGCTCCCTATGGTCAATCATTGGTGAAGTCTTACTTGAACACAAAAATACTGCTTGCTTGCGATAATTAATGCACATCCTGCCCCCTATGGGCAGGAAAAGTACATACAGTCACTTTAAGTGACAGTGTGACGTAGATCTGTCAGGCTTTTCAAATCCTTGAGTTTCACCATCTATTTTTATCAGAAGCTAATACAGTAGATAGGTGTAGGAGACTTGCATGAAAACCTGCATGAAAAACTCACAGTGACTGATTAATCAGAAACAATCATTAAAAATGGGTTGGTATCGAGTGCCTCTACCAGATTTTACATCAACCCAGAATAGAAGCATCAGCAGACAAACTGATAGCCAACCTGCTAATTGTAGCATTAGCTAGTGCCTCTCTAATTAATGATTCTGTTATGTGCTAAAAAAAGGGTCAGGGGAAATAAATTAAAAACAAACCAAAACTGAAAAAACATGGTAGTATCTGAAATTAGAGGACCATAAATCACACTGAGGTAGGGGGCATGCTGAGCCAGTGGGAAGGTTGAGTCCCCCTGTGTGTCTGAGTGAAAAACAAAAATATTAATAACTTACATGTAAGTGTTATAGATCAAACTAATGAGACAGATCAGATCACAGAGTCTGAAACAGCTTAAAGCTGCTTTCATGCTTGCCAGCTTTGATCATTTGCACCAGTGTAACAGGTGTACATACTTTTAATGGGCGTCGGGCTGCTGCTGGGCGGGCCTTGATTACATATGATTCAGTATCATGAGCTGTGTGTTTGAACCAGGCCACTCAGTTGGCACGGTGGTGGTGGCGAAGCAGAGGGTTCATAAAATAAAGCAAAAGAGGCAGGGTTCTGTGACAATAACAATAGGATCAGATTATGTAAACTCGATACGTGAGGTAGAGCCAGAACTGTTGAAGAAGAGAAATAATATGATGCAAGTCAGATGACAGTCATGGAGTCAGATAAGTGAGATAGCGTGCAGACCTCGGAAACCATCGAATCCAAGACAATACTGATGAAGCAGAGCCAATAGGGAAGGAGCGAGAACCACACCTGAACTGCTTTGATAGGAAAAGGTTATTCTGGATGTTCTGACTACGTTTCATTTTTTTGACTTAAAGCTGCAAAGGCAAATGTGCAAAACAAGCTAGCTTTAAACACAGTCAGTTACCATCCCTAGGTCACTTCCCCTTGGTACTAGAACCCGCATTGCCGGAGGATACAATATAGTGCTAAACACCAGTCACTGTTTTCTAAGTCCAAACATCTTTCGATTCAAATAGTGTTTTCTTCTTGGGACTCTGGTAGTTTGTCCTAAAGTTGAAGAGGTAGCAGCCGGCTGTTTTCCTTCTCTGATGTTAGAACCTCTCACACCAGTGGTGTTCTGATGCAAAATGCACAAGAGCAGAAGCTACAATGATGTTCTGCTGAGCTGTGGTGGCCTCATGGAGGGGGCCATCGGCTTGAACACTGCTGCTAACCACTTAAAACATTCTCCGTCTCCTGATAATAACATTTTACTTTCTTTGACACTGAATGTGCTACTACTAGTTTATCCGTTTAATTATAGATTCACTAAAATAAATACAATAAAGTTTATCTCTCACCAAACAGAATATTTACTAAGAAATCACAATGTAACCATAGAAACATTACTTGTTATATATGTTGTGTGTGGTGTGTGTGTGTGTGTGTGTGTGTGTGTGTGTCTGCTCTGTCTTCTCGATCCCCAGTGAGTCATGGCGGATGGCTGCTTATACTGAGCCAGGATTCTCTGGAGGTTTCTTCCTGTTAAAAGGGAGTTTTCTTCTCTACTGTCGCTAAATGCTTGCCTATGTAGCGGTCACACTTTATAGCGTGATGACTGCAAATGAATTATGACCAATAAGATGTGATTATTCCATATAAATAGAACATATCGAGTTTACACTGACACCAGTCAGTGACTTGATGCAATTTGTTGGGTTCTTTATATAGGAAACCTTTTTCTGATTGGCTTAATGAACTGACCTGTATTGGAATGTTTACTATGTGAAGTGCCTTGAGACGATTCTTGTCATGATTTGGCGCTAAAACTTGAATTGAATAATGAGTGGAGGACCCTGGTAAAATATAGAAATATGGTGGTTTGGTGAGATAGACAACTGGGTCGTCCAATTGTTGCTTTTGTGTTGTTGGGGAAGGATTTTAGATAAATGCAAGAGAATCGCTTCATTTATTTTTTTTAAACCTCCACAATAAATTTATAGCTATACCAAGATAGAAAGTTGGAAAAAGGCATAGAAAAATGGTTTTAAGCTAGCTTGTTTAGCAGATCTACCATTGTAGCTTTAACCTGGGACTCCCAACGGTCAGAAGCAACTGATGAATTAAGTGTTGCGTATTTGCTTCAGCATGGTTAATAAATTCTCAAGTAGTTGATTTTGCATTATTCAGACATGTTTTAACACACACTGGCAGCTGTTTCAGCTAACAGAATGCATAATCAAGTTAGCCATTATGAAGGCGTAGATTCAAATGTTTGTAGTTTTCCCTCAAGATCATAAAGTAAAACAATTAAGCAGTTCCCCAAAAGGATTAAATTACAGTGTAGTTTGATAGGATAAAACTTTTTAAATATCATTGATGTTCGCGGATGATTTTGGCACTGATCAGTTACATCACTCACTGTCAAATCAGTCACAATGCCATGATATCTTAGCAAAGTCCTTAAAGGATGACCGAGCCATCAAGTTTTCCCAGTCCCCCCCCCCCCCCCAAAGAGTTTTTCTAGAAATCCTATAGTGGAAACACAGTTATACGTGCTAAATGTCATGGCTCCTCAGAGTGAGTCTAATTACTTCATCAAAGTAGTAACAGAGTTAGTGACTGAGTTACAAGAGTCTAAAAGCAACTAATTATCAGGAAAAGTAACTATTTTGTTGCTTTAAAAAATATGCGACAATCCCGTTTTAATAGAACTAAATTCACATAAAAAATGTGTGTCCAGTTGTTTAATAAAAAATAGAATAATTGAAATCATTGGGCACCTAACAGCAGGAACTACAATCAGTAAACATCATACTGATCTATCACTGTGTGATATGAAACAAGACCAATCAACTAAAATTTATTATTGCTAATAGAAAACACCTGTAAAGGATTCCTGAGTATTTAAATGGCCTCTCAGTCTAATTACTGAAATAAATAGACTTTTCCATGGTATTCTATTTTTTTAAGAGTTTTGCTAGTATAATTAACTGTTTTCATTAGTATTTCTATTACTCATAATATATTGGAAAATAAAAAATATTTAAAATGACTCCAGAACAGGCACAAATCTGACCAAGGACTTAAATCTGTTAACTTGGGTTCCACTCAAACGCACGCAGAAGTGTTAAGGCTGGGTGGTAAAGACGTGGTTAGTTCTAGTAACACCCGAGCGCCCATGACGTCAGCGGGACTAAAAAATGATCAGGAACACTAACTGGTTGTGTGGAGGATGATCTAGGAAGATAGAAGATCGTAACGAGTGAACGATGAACAGGTGAGGCGGACCTTCCTTACATGGGAAGTCCCGCTGTCACGTCAAGAAGGATACAGCTGCAGACCACAGAGCAGATTCATGCCTGAAGTTGCAAATCTGCAGGTCTCTGGGTCTGCAGCTGGTCACATCTTACTTGTTGCTCACTGGCCGTGATGTGCTCAGATATAAACATCCGCCCCTTTAGCTCCTGAGTAGACGATGACAGCTTCAACACACCTCACTGCTGAATTATAGTAACACATTTTCTGATTGGTAACAAAAATGGTGTTATGGTGAAAGAAGACAGTAATTAGTTAGATTACATGTTACGTAAAAAACTACCGCTGTTGTTTTAAACACCGTTATTCACATCACTGCAACATGTCAAAAGTTCCAAATGAAAACTATTGTCTAACTAGTATTGTCCTAAATAAAGAGTTTTGTAAAGTTGTAACCATTTTTTTTTTGCTGTTGGAGGAACACTAGAAGTGATGTCTGGAACCTATACGATGGCTTTAACAGTTTAGGGTAAAGTTTACTGTACAGCATACAGCTGGATGTTTAGGATAATGGTCGATTCGGCTGCAGGCAGTTCAGCATACCTCTGACACCGGGTGTGACACAAACTCCTCCAGATGCTGCGCTGTGCCATTATCTGCTGCAATTTCAATCTTGCATGACCCCCCTTGTTTGCCAACAGGCAGCCTGAACCTGTTAAGAGAGAAAACACAGAAAGCAGGGTTAGTAAGACCAGGTGCTACACAATACCTGAGACTCCCAATAAATCCAGCAAAGCATGAAAAATATTCTGATGGGGGAGACAAGACAGAGCAGTCACAGTAATGGAGCTGCTAATGTGACCATTGAGAATATACCATAAAGCCACTAGGTATACACTGCACACAGTTTTATGAGATGTTTTATGCAATGGTAGAATGGCTTGGAAAGCGATGGTGCATTTGTATCACTTCCCTATCAGCCAAAACCCAGAGGAGACAACAAAAACAGAGAATACTTTCCACAGTTAAGATTTAAATAAAATGAAATCCAGAAATAGGTTTCTGCTCAGCGCTGCAGTGATATTCCACAAGCTTTTGTGTTCCTTTAGAAAATTTACACACCTAATACAGCTGGTACAGGCACTGAAGATCAAACATGGGCTGAGATAAGCACTCATTACTAGTTCGATGGCTTTGCAAAGTAAAATAACAGTTACAATAACTGCAATAATAATAACATGAAGAAACGAGCTCCACAGATCCACAAAACCGATAAAGGAGCTGATTATGTCACTCAGGATTAATTCATAATAAAAAGGAGGGCACAAACTAGATATGCATTATAACCCTGATGAGAAGAAAGATAATTTTATCATTTGACCCTCTGTGCTTCTCTGGGGAAATGCACAGTTGTGCTAGTCATTAATGTTCTAATGTTAAGTAGCTGGTCTACTTGTGTCAGATTCCAACACTGGCAAAGTCAAGTGATTACCTCTCCAATCTATCACTGGTTTTACACATCTGAAGCTCTTTCCAGGGCTCTCCATTATACCGAAGGCTGTACGCTCCTCATTACGCACGAAAACATGATTATGTTTGGAAATAATCCACATAATACACCTTTATTCCACAGGTTTATTGAATATCTGCTAGCAAGAAACGCGGCATGAGTAATATGTCACCAAGCTGCTAATTTGATCCTGCAAAATCCATTCGTTCCTCTTTGTGATTGTACCCGTGTTGATGAGGAGAGAAAAAAAAAAAGTGTCTCAAACGTGTGCTTTAATAGCCAGATGGAAACAATAAGGGCAATCGTCCTCCTGATAATTTGAAACAGCCTTCCAGGACGCCTCCCTCAGGCAATCCCACGCACACAACTTCAGGTAGAACTAATTACAGGTATGGAAATCACAAGAGCACCTTTTGTACACACACATACACGCACGTATGCACAGACGCACTTAAGAGTCAAAACGTGAAAGGCAACCTAATGTCCAGAGAAGAGAAGAGGCTCATTACTATCCTCAGGGCGCCAGGTCTGTTTCTGAGGTCATTCTCTGCACATTAGCATTACAGCAACTGATTAGAGAGATTTAGGAAAATTACGTTCTCCCACTGTTTGTACTTCATGCTTTAGATGATTACAAGGTTCTGATGAAAAGAGTGAAATGATCCAATATTGGCGGACGTATATACATGAGTAAAATAAAAAACAGACGGTGGCAAGGTTTGAAACATCACAGCGTTATTACTAAACGCTCTGTTGCTGAAGACGTTGAACGCTTATTTTGCTGCTTAGTACAAAAGCTTTTTTTGGGCTGCTAATGGTGCAATAGCTGCCTGCGTGAGAGATCACGCTCACTAAGGAAACACCATGATGCTTCTTGATGCGCTCTTGTGAGTGCATTGCTTAGCTCATTTACACTAGTCCTGCTTAGGAAAACACGAGAAAGATGACTATACGAGTGTTTTCATGGCCTTGTGGCTTTACAAGAAAGATTTTGTTCATGGTTTTGTATAGAAGTCACCACCCAATCAGATAATAAAAGGGTTAATATCAATTTTAATTATTTAAAGGATATGGGTTTTTAATGGGATTTATTATGCAAAACTCACATTTCGCATCGTTTTGTGTTGCCATGTGGGTCTATACTGCCTCTGTAAACACTCCTAACACATATAACATAAACCCCATCCATCTTTTTTTCTGTAAGTGTTTGGCTTTAGGAATTATGTGCCTAAAACAAACAGTTTGAAAACGTCCCTGCTTGTGATGTCACAAATGGAGAAATTAGAACGGAAACATCTGCTGGAGGATATCAAAGCTTCTCAGCCTATAGGAAGCCAAAGTCACACCCATCTACTTCTGGACCATGGGTCCCTGGAAGAACAAAAAAATGAATCCAAGTCGATGGGGCTAAAACAGAAAAACAGAAGGAAAATGGCTAAGTTCAGCAAACTTCAAATCCTTCTTTCAGGAGGAAAGAACCACCATAAATCTGGCCATTTTGGTAAGTAGCAGCTACGCTAGAGGAGAAGAGATTACATGGCGACGTCACATATGCAACGTGCCGATGTAGTCATGCTAATTACGAACTTTTACAAGCTGATAAATCTCAAGGTATGTGACAGGCATGGTCAAAACACCAATCATTAATTTTCTTTTAAATTGCAGTATAACATATGTGCGATCCAGGGTGCCAGGCAAAGCAGGTTAGAAAATAGCGTTTTTAGCCTCGTTGACTTGCATTCATTTTTTTGTTCTTCCCATGAGCCGACTGGAAAGGGAGGAGACTTAGGCTCCCTATAGCAGCAGGAGAAGGGTGGGTGTGGCCAGCTTCAGCTTGTTTTCTTAAAGTGACAGAGCCCAGAAACGGCTTATTCTGGAAGGTACTGAAACTCAATAATAAAACTGCTAAAATTGCTTTATATAATAGTAATTATGTGCTAAGAACTACATAAACATGTTTTGTATTGACCACAGAACTATTATAACTTTGGGGGGAAAAAGTCATAAAGCTTCCCCTTGAATGCAGAGATAAAATAATGTGTCACTTCTTATCGGGTATCTTTCATCTCTAAGGATTGGCAACAGCTTGAAGAAAACAAACAAAAATATATAAATAATTCCTTTTCTCTCAACACACTAAACCTCAATGTGGGGGCAAACTATTTAACATACTCTGTCATCATTTATGCATTTGTTCATCTGGCTAACGATCTAATCATAAGCGATTTGTCTTCTCTAACACATTCATTTAGTGTGTGTGTGTGTGTGTGTGTGACAAATTTAGGGCATCTACATTATTGTTACTTTCCTGAGGATAACAACTGAAATATTACCCCGCAATGTTAAGGGACCTTGCAAATATTCTCAGCACTGCACCTTCACACAAAGGTATTTGTTAAACCCGAGGTAGGCACTTGTCTTTGTAATCGAACGTGCCTCCTCCTCCTCCTCCTCGCAGTCCCCTGCAGAAGATTAGCAATGAGGGAGGATCATCATTAAAATATTACTACTACATAAAACATCTGAAGGTATTGGCAACAGATGGCAGTAAAACATCATGCACCACACTGGTGGCCTTGCAACATTTTTTTTACTGACTGATGAGCTGCATGTGACACATTTTTAACATGTTTTAATAACAAAAAAACAAGTGATTATGTGGAACACAGAGTAGTGAATTTATGATTTGAGTAATGAAGTGTTTTTGAGTCAAGTGACTTTTAGTTCTGCGAGCAGAAGCTCTGCTCGTGGAGCTTAATGCCTGAGAGCGAATAGAATCAGAGGCTCATGTGTTATACACGTATAGAGAATACAAGCACCACCTGTTACTGATATTAGCATTAGCACAACAGGTTGCAGAGCTACATCAAATATGACATAAGAATAGGACAATAACCTCTACCCATATGGCTAGGACTCAATAATCACACCACATCATCTACAGCACATGGCATTTTTGTTTTTTTTTCAGTAATCATAACAAATGCGTTTGACCATCATCTGCACCTTAAGTGGAGCTAATGCCTGCTCTGGTTCTGGTGCAGTGACTTTCTCACACGCAGCACTGCAGCATTTGCTGCATAATCTGTGCTGTGACCGGCAAGGCTCAATTAATTTGGGCAGCCTGTGTTCTATCATTATATCTCTGGCAATGCAATTAGACAGCACACAGCAAGGATCTTACGGGGTTTCACAAAAGAAACTCCAAGTGAGCGAGGCAACGGCTGTGATCTCCGTCAACACAAACGCTGAACACGCTGTGACGATAAACATGTCCTGGATCAGATTTGGTATTGTGTCAATTTGATCTGGGTAAAAAAAAACTCTTCACATTAAAAATTCACTTTTCAAGTGAGTAATTGGTTTGGCATTCAGTCAAATAAATGTTTCTCCAGTAATCTTCCTGCAATTAAAACAAGGTAGGAAAGTGGATGGATGAGCTCTCTTATGCAGAAATAAAAAGCAATCATTGGCTGCTTGAGTTCCTAAACGACTCTTCTTTTAAACAAATAAGTGATTCTTTCAGTTTGAATTATCATGCGGACTAAAATCAGTTTCAACACATGGGCACAAAGGAGCCCTCTAAGACCTTTTAAGGAAAAGCTTGTTTGTGGCTGCGCCGACGCAGATAAACAGGTTCATCTGACCTGGGCTGGAGCTGGACTCTGAAAGCTGAGTTCCTGTGACATTAATTCAAAGAAGTCAGACTCCCGAGACATCCTAAAAATGTCTTTTCAGTGTTTCTTCTCACAGCACACGTATGTTTTCTTCCTCTTACAGCGGCTGTTGCTAGGCGACATTTCACGCCCACGTGTGCAGTTTTATATCCCGAACCACTCGGTGGTCAGTGAGCGGTATGAGTAAATAACTCATAAAATTTCATAAGTGATTAAAGTGTTTGTGCTATTTTCACCAACTCATCAAAAAAAGAAGCATTCTACATGCCGTGCTTAAATGAACAGCATTGTGCAGTGTTTGTGGACTTTTCAAGCAGGAAAATGCTGTTTCAGGAGGTAAGAGGCTCACAGTGAGGGCTAATGCTTTGAATAAAAAAAACATTTTTACAAACTAAATGTGAATTTTTAAAACTAAAAATGTATCAAGCAGAGAGGCTCTAATCAAAGTTGCAAAAACAGGCTTTTGGAGCTCTACCTATCCTAAAGGACATGTGTACTTCTACTGCGTTTATCATTTTTTTGCAA